GGGCAGCAGCGGGGGCTGTGCCACAGAGCAGTCAGAGGACATCCGGGAAAGGAGGGGGTGGCTGTGTCTTAGATTGGGTGGGAGGGTCTCTCGTGGGGGGATTCCCAAGGTGTGGGGTCCCAGGATGAGGGGCCTGTGACTGGGTGGGTTGGGGGGGGCTCTGAGCCCAGGGAGCGATGCGGGGGGGAGTGGGGGATGTGTCTCTGTGCCCCAAGGGATGAGGGTCCCTGGGAAGGGGAGTCTGTGCCCCAAGGGATGTGGGATCCCCAAGGGGGGGGGGGGGAGATACCCACAGCTGAGGTGGGGAGGGCTCTGTGCCCCAAATTGGGGGTCCCCGGTTGAGTGCCCCACCCGAGCAGGTGGAGCACCCCCTGCCCCAACCTCTCCTGGCTTTGTGTCCCCCCAACCTCCTGCCTTAACCCCCCCTTTTTGTTGCCCCCAGCCCCCGCCCTAACCCCCCATGTCCCCCCCACTTTGTGTCCCCCCAGCTGTTCCCCCTGACCCTGCGTGTCACCGGCCTGGAGGGGGTCCCAGAGGGGGGGGTCCCGGCGGGGCTGGGGGTCGCAGCCCAGCGGCTCCAGCTGTTCCAGCGGCTCCTGGGGGCTGTGGCCGGGGGCGACCTGCGCCTGGCCCAGGTGGCCAACGACCTGGAGAACCTGCGCAGCCTCCTGGGGGTCCTGGGGGCCCTGCTGGGCTGCCCCCCGCCCCGCGACCCCCCCCCGGCCCCCCCGGCCCCGCTGGCCGAGGCTCCCCACACCGTGGCCGGGGTGGCCCTGGCGCAGCTCCAGGGGTGCCTGGAGGGGATCGCCACCCACCTCGAGGAGGTGCCCGCCTGTTAGGGACCCCCAGGACCCCTCCAACACCCCATGGACATGACCAAGACCCCAGCAGGACCCCCACGAGGGCTCCTAGGACCCCACAGACCCCACCAACCTCACCAGGACCCCGTGGAGACACCACAAGGACCGCTCGGGTCCCACCACGATCCATCCCACAGACGCCACCAGGATCCCGTGGACCCCCCGCAGGGATTCCCAGGACCCCACAGTCACAAATAGGACCTCATCAGGACCCCTCTGGGAACCCCCACAGATCACATGGGACCTCCGTGGGGGGACCCCACAACTGTCCCCAGCCACTGGAGTGACTCCAGCTGCTGCCAGTGCCTCTTTTTCTACATTATTATTATTACTATTATTATTATTATTATTATTTGTTATTACCTTTTAAGTATTTTTATTTATTGACTTTAATTTAAAATAAAGCCCCTTTTCCAGCAGCCTCAGTTATGTCTACTGACCCTGGGGACAAGGGACCCCAGGGACACAGAGGGGGGGGGCACATGGGGGACAAGGGACACCTGAGGAACAAGGAAGGGACCCCAAGTAACATGGGGGGACACAGGAGACACAGGACCCCCAGAACAAGGGACCTTTGGAGTCAAGGGATCTACAGGATGAGGGTCAAGGGACCTGAGGGGACAAGAGGACCCCAAGGGACACAGGGCAACAAAGGGGACAAGGGCTCCAGGAACAAGGGACTCCCTGGGGATAAGGGACACCCCGGGGACACCTCTGGGACAGGGGACCCCTGGGAGAAGGGACCCCCCCCCCTTCCTGGGAACTGGGACCCTCTGTATCAAGGGGCACATAGGGAAAAGGGACCTTCAGGACACCAGACATCAGGGATAAAGGACCCCTCAGGACACGGGGGCACGCGAGGACAGGGGACTGTGGGGCCCAAGACCCCTCCAGGAGCCGGGGGGGGGGGGGGGGGGGGGGGGGGGGGG